GCTGTTTACTTATGAAATCACGGTTTAATCAGGAACAAGCTTCTGACATTAGCAAAGACCTTCAGCTTGAGGCTCTTTACAAATAAAGTTTATGCTGGGAGCTACTGCCTCCCAGCGTTATTTAAATACACTCCCAAGTTCACCCCACCCTCCACCGAGCAACACCACCACACCCCCGCCCTCCTACATCACACCCTCCTATTCCCCCAACCAGCATCTTTCAGTTAATTGCCCCATTAGTCTCTCCATCTGGAACCTTCCTGCCGACGCCCTGTGCTTCTGCTGGCGATGCCCTGTGCTCTCCGGGCTGCCTCCCCTCAGCTGATTGTTAATTACAGCTGCTCGTCGGCTTGCTGACTGCGATGCTGGTTGTCCCCCTCCGTTAATTACAGCTGCTCGTCGGCTTGCTGACTGCGATGCTGGTTCTCCCCCTCCTTGTGTGTCAAGCCCAGGAGGACTTGACAGGTGGCCCCCCTACCAAGTATCCTCCTGGAAGTGGGTAAAACACACAGTTAGTTTGTTGTTGTGGATGTCGGTCCACCTCCCCCCCTTGTTTCTGAGGATACTTGCAATGATATCTTTGTACCAATCACGGGGCATTCATATCTGCCTCCCCCACCCATGATGCCTCGGATACTGGGTATCCCCTCCACTGCACTAGGTATTGTAACCGGGTTCTTCGATACCTAGAATCCAGTATCTTTCGTATTGCATAATGCCCCCCCACACCGGTCCAGGAGGTTGTTGCACCTGTCTGAAGGATGGTTTGATTGCTGGTTTCAATAAGCTACTATGGAAGACCGGGTACACTTTGCCGAGGCTTAGTGGTAGTCGTAACTGTACGGTTACTGGATTGACAACCCTTTCAATTTTAAAGGAACCGATATATTTTGGACTCAGTTTTTTACATGCCCTCTGTAATTTTAGGTATTTGGTGGATTTATTTATTTATTTATTTATTTAATTTAATTTATATGCCGCCCTTCTCCCGGCGGGACTCAGGGCGGCGCACAACTCATTTAAAACCAAAGCATATATACAATCCCCCCCTTAAAACCGAATTAAACCAAATTTAAAGTTGTGTCTTCCAAATTCCTAAAAAACCCAGTATAAAATCCACCCTAGGTCAGGTCCGCTTGCTGAAAGAGCCATGTCTTGAGGGCGCGACGGAAGGTAAGGAGATCCGGAATTATCCGAATCTCGGGGGGTAGTTCAT